TCGGGCTGTGCTGAGGGTGGGGTGGGGAGGGGCAGGCGTGGGATGAGGATGCTACGCTGCATCCAGACAAGCGGCGCGTAGTGGCAGGAGCCGCCCCCCACCCTCCCAAACAAGCTGTGGCTCCGTCCCACACCTGCCCTGCCTCAGCTGGGCGAGCAGCAGCAAGGCATGGGGGCAGGGGGAGGCATGCACTCCTGGATTGGGGCGGGTGCAGAGTGGGGTGGGGCCATAGTTCCCCCATAGGCCCCAGCACCCGCCTGGAGCACAGCCTAGCACAGCCCCGGCCCCCCAGTACCCTGCTGCCGCTTGCCCAACTGTGGCAGGGCAGACGCAGGATGGCGCCTGTCTGGGGGGTGGGGAGGAACGGCTCCTGCCACTGCGTACTGCTAGTCTGGAGGTGAGCCCTGTCCCGCCCCAGCTAAGCAAGCAGCTGGAGGGCATAGCCCCTGCTCCCAGCGCAGCCCCGACCCTGCCTGCCCCATGCAGATCCGGGGGCACATGCCTCCCACCATGCCCTCCCGGATGAGTGGCGGAAACTGCCAAGTGAGCAACTTGCCCCACCCCCAGCCTCACCACAGAGGGCCTTGATCTGCCCTCCCCCCCCTCCCTTCCACCACACCAGACTTACCAGCTGGACACAACTGTGTCCAGGATCGTAAAGTCGAAGCCCAGGTCAGAAGGTTGAAACAGGGTGTCAATTTATAAACATCTTAAGTGCCGTTCGTTGTTAACTTCAAGAGTCGTAAGTCGAGGACTGCCTGTTTTGTGCAGGTTACTGATAGGTTCTGCACAACGTGCTGTAACACTCCCAAGAACAGGTCAATGAAAGGAGAACACTACTACCCAGAACAAAACTGGCCACTTGTTTAGGAAGGTTTAGTTAGGGATGGCCCTGCCTTAAGCAGGGGGTTGGACTCAGTGGTGCCAAGTACATGAGGGTCTGAGGGCCCTGGCCCTCCTCGGCAAGAGGATTATCACCTGAAATGTGTAAAGCTTTCCACATGTCCATCATCTTATGCCCCCTGGCAAAAATAAAAGTTGGCACCTATGGTTGGACTAGATGACCTTGAAAAGTTTCTTCCTACCCTACTTTTCTATGATTCTAAGTTAATCACTAGTGATTTTTAAAATTGCAAATGTAGCTCTTGTTTCTCTCATCAGATCATTTGTGAGCCCATCCTGCTCTGAGTGAATCCAAGGTTCACTCATAGTTTGAGATGAGCAAACTCATAGTTTGAGATGAGCAGTTTTTGTAAGTATATGTGCCTATTGATAACACATGATTGGCAACTACATGATACAGTTTTATTGTGCCTCCAAAAACTTTTAAAACAAAAGAATAATGAACGGTGACGCAGTCAATCTCCTGGTTGTATGAATGTGCGCCAATCAGCTGTTTCTGAACTGTCATAGGAAACAGAAGTTTCTTTGCTTGCTCTCTTAATCCCTCTTCAGTCAACAGTTGACCTAAAAATGCGGTCTTAAGTTTCTTTTCAAGAGCATTCTCCAAGTGCTAGTTTTCCTGTTACCCCTGTTTCTGTTGCCTGGTTGCTTGCTGTCCATCCTGACTCTGTCCGAGATGCATAGTTACTTTGTTCTCTTGTTTATTCCCATACTTCATACATTATTTTGTTCTTTTTAGAGGTGCACCAATAAATCGCTCCAATATTGGATTGGCACCGATATAAAGAAAATTTTCTGTATCAGAAATCGGCCCGACACAGCCAATAATTTGTCTGATAAATGCCCAAGTGTGCACGCAGGCACAGTGCAGCACATAGGCAGTGAGGAGCAGAGCTGGCAGCGTGGAGTGCTGCGTGCAGCTGGTAAGTCTGGTGTGGTGCAAAGGGAGATGGAACGGGAGTGGGGAGGGAAGGGCCGTAGGGGGGCAGATCAAGGCCCCTGTGGTGAGGGAGGGTGTGGGGTTGGGGCAGGGGCTGTCCAGCTGGGGCCTGGAAGGATGCGGGACACAAGTGTGGCTCATTGGTGGGGGTACGGCGCCTGCCGCTGCACAAAGCTCATCCGGTGCTCGTCTGGCGGCTCCTGCTGCTGCTCCCGCCTCTTGTCAGGTAGGGCGTGGGGGGGGAGGCGCGTATGCCCCTGGATCTGTGCAAGGCGGGCTGGGCTCCTCCCAGCTGGGCAAATCTGGGGGACACACACCACCCTCCCGGACAAGCGGCAGAAGCAGCAGGAGCTGCCAGACAAGCACTGGATGAGCCACGCGTACTGGCGGGAGCCATGCCTCCCCGACGAGCAGCGCCTCCCCTCTGTCCTGTGCCCGCCCTGACCCTGGCCCCAGCCCACAGCTGCAGCCCACCCCACACAGACCCAGGGGGCACATGCCACCCCTACTCCCTGGGAGATCCGCTTGCTGCTCTGTCCCCCGCCCCTCCCCACCCTGGCTGGTCAATGCCTGCCCCAGCCCCAGCCCCATTCCCTCCTTTCACCGCAGGGGCCTTGATTTGCCCTCTCACACCCCTTCCCACCCCTCCCCTTCCACCAAACCAGCCTTACCAGCCTTATCAGAAATTGGATTGGTATCGGCAGATATGCCTCCTTAAAAATCGGCTATCTGTATGGGCCTCAAATACCTCTATCAGTGTACCCCTAGTTCTTTTACTGTAAACCGCCCCACACCTTTGTTTAGGAGGGCAGCATATTAATCTGATAAATAAATACATGCACATAGATAGAATAGACCTGGAGCCCTGAAAGCAGAATTGGGTGTGCATGATCGATTGCTGTGTTGTAATGATTGCCTAGCTCTGTTGTAGTGTATTAGACCCCACCTACACATTGGCTGCATCCTTAAGATCGGGTGTTTTAGTAGGTCTTTTGGGGCACTTTTATTAATAGCTGATTGGATTAGCTATTAGATAAATGCACCAAAAAGCCCCATTGAAATACCCAATCTGTATAGATGCTGGGGAGCCAGATTGAAGTAAGTGCTGCTGCTTCCAGTAAAGCTTCTTTTTTTGCGGGGGGGGGGTAATATCTGCAAGCAGCACTATGCTTAATACAGAATTAACTTGTACTTGGGTCTTGGCTTCTGACTCAACTACAGGTACAATTTATTCGTGGCTTAAGAAAATAAGAAATGAGCCACAAAGTTATTTCAAAACAAACGTGTAATAGCTGTGCTTCCTTATTACGCCATTATCTGAACGTGTGGCCAACTGCCGGGGGCTCCCGGCTGCGGGCTCTGCCAGCCTTCTCCTGTGCGGGGGCTCTAACCGGGAATGCAGGACAGCGTGTGGCCCCCGAGTGCTGCAGTGCAAGTAAAGCACGGGCGCTGCGCTCCAGTACTGTGACGCGGGGATGCGTGGGAGGTTACTGGACCGGTGACTGCGGCAGTGGCCCCGCCCCGCGCTCACCTCCCCAAGGCTGCGGCCAGCATAGGCGGCCGGCGACGCTCTCCTGGGCTGGGCACGCGCTACATTTCCCAGGGGCCTCCGAGCAGCCTGCTCTCAGGTTGACACTGCGGCGCAGCCGGCGGGGGCGCTGTGGGACGGCCCCTGCGACGATCCGTACCGAGCGGCCGGGCAGGGAGGGGTGCTTCCTGTTTGTCTGCGAGAGGCAGGAGCAGCTATGGCGGCGGCGGCCTCGAGGCTTGGCGGAGGCGGCCGGCGGGGGGCCACCAACATCCTGGCTCAGCTTCGGCATGGGCAGCTTAGCGGCCGCGGCCTGACTCGGGGGGCGCAGGTACGGCGGGCCTGGCGGGGGTGGGGCTGTGAAGGCTGCGGGCACCCGCGGGCTGTGTGATGGTGGCGGGGGTTGGGGCCTACATGATTTGGGCCTCGGAACAGGGGGCGCTCTGGCGAGCAGAGCTGCGAGCGCTGAGCGAGGCCGTGTGCGGCAGCTTTGGGCTTCCTCGGGTGTAGGGGGAGGGGAGCGCCGGTGGCTGGAGACGTGTCATGTCAGAGAGGGCGTCTGGAAGCCGCGGAGGACGAGGGCTAGTGCTGCTGAGGCTTGTGAGCTTCCTCTTCCTCCTGCAGCTGGTCAAGGGCTGGTCCCGAAGCCGCGGTTCAGAGCAGCCCAGCTCTTTTGCCCGCTTCTTCCGCACTCCAACATCTCGCTCTTTGGGCCCCGTTCTGCTGCTGCCTCTGACTCGCAGCCCTCCCACCTCCGGGGACATGCCAGGCTGGAACCTTTGGCCCAAGTGGGGAAGATTTTCTGTGATGCCCCCAGCTCTGTGCAGAAGGTTGCATGTTCCCCGTTGGCTGAGGTGTGGACTTCCATCCAGGATGGCAGAATGCTGTTAAATCTCCTTGTGACTTTACATGCAAGCCGGGGAAAGTGCTGAACAGCAGCCCAGGGCTTGTGTCCTGTGTGAGTGCAGAAAAGAGCCTCCAAATCTCCCAAACTACCAGTTCTATTAGTGATCTCTTGGGCTTTCTGGGGCATAAATCCACCCCTCCCACTCAGACGTCGGTGTGTGGGCTGTTTTGTTTGCTAGCTCTCCTGTGTGGTTCAGGGGCATCCACTGGCTAATTAGATACAGTCAAGGGGCAGTGGGAACTAGATTTGAAGTTCTCTGCTTGCTGTCCTCTCAGCACCGTACTTGTTAACCTTTGACCCCTGTTCCTGTTCAGTTTCTCATGACTTGTGGCATAAAAAAGATTTCATGGGACAGTATCAGCCGTACCTGGATCCCAGGCCACATCTGGACCACAGGGCTCCTTGCAGGCTGGATCCAGCCCATGGTCTGAGGGCTGCCACAGTAACTACCATGGTGGTGGCCATACAGGGTCCAGTGGAGGTGAGACAAGCTTGCCACCAATGGCCATGTACCATGGGGCCAAAAGGACCCTGGAGTATGTAGGTCACCCCACCCCCCCTCAACTCGAGGTGCTTGCTGTCAGATAGAGAGGCTTCTTCGACTGAGTCCAGCTCATGGACCGTGTGTTTAACACCCATGTTATATGTTTAGTAGTGGCCTCCATCCAGCCACTGAGGGGGACTTGTAGTTTCCTGGTGTGTCCAGACCTACTGTGCCTGTGTACAAATTGTCTTTTCCCAGCCCAGTTTGTACTGCAAGACAGCAGAACAGTATTAGGAGCTGAGAAATGTCCTCAGAAACCCCCCTAAGCAAGAGAATGAATTTACACCTTGCTATTTTGTTCTCTCTCTTTCCTTGAAATTCAGGATGTAAGGAGACTGATGGAGAAGGGCCAATATAGAAATCACAGAAATGCTGCCCTGTAGTGGTGTTTTGCTTGGAGGTGAGGATAGAGGTGCTTCCTTTTCTGAATAGAAAAGAAGCTCTGATTGGCATTTCAAATTAATCCAAAATGTCAAGAGTTAAGTGCATGTGTTGATTTATTCAAGCATGTAACCTAGTGGCCTTAGTGGTGAGTAGTAGTGTAATTCTGAAATGAAAGAGAAAGGCTAACTGCATTTTTCATTTAAGTAACACTGATCAGAACTTTTCTGAAATTGCTATTTTCCAGTGTTGATGATCCCATGGAACATTGAGAATGAAATCAATTTCTTGACTTGGATTTTGCTTGCTCTGTGTGTGTTGGCTTTCTGTGAGCTTTTTATTAGTGCTGGGCTTCTGGCTGATTTTAATGCAAAGAAAGTAGCATTAAGCTGGAGGAAAAAGCACAAAAAATTATATGTAGGAACCTACTGAAATTGTGATTTCACGATCTTCGTGGAAACTGCGATTTTTAGGCAGGCCCCCCAAAGAGGTGCAGACTCCCAGGGGGGAAAAAACAAAACTCACCAAAAATAAAATGCTGGCTCCCTTTGGAGAGCCAGCAGTCCTTGTAGCCACTGTGACTCAACTACATAGCATGCTGGGGGAGGGGAAGGGGAGCTGCTGGCATGATAAGATGGCTGCGGCTCCCACCCATTGCTTGATTTGATGAGGGCTGTCTGCCATATGCCCCCCCCACCAATCACCTGCAAGGGGTGGGATTGTATGATGGGCAGCCCTTGCAGCTAACCAGCAGTGAGGGGTGGGACCACCAGGCCCCTAGGCCAATCAGAGGTGTGACGGGGCCTGTCACACTCCACCCACAAAAATGGCTGCCAGGCCGATGGTCTGCCCATGAAATTGGCTAGCAGCCATCTCAACTTCAGTAGACCCCTAATTATATAGACTTTGTAAGCTGTGTTTAGAAGGAAGGGCATGTTCTTTGGATATGCTGTCCTGATGCAACTTCACTGAATAAAACTATTAATCTTAAAAGAATCGAGGTAGACTAACAAACAAGCTATCTCCTTGGTATACCACTTTTCCTGTCAGTAAAGGAATTGGAGCATTTTGATCACTGAATAGTGTTTATGAGCAATGATGGATACAAGATTTGTTTACATAATTTTAGGCCTCAATACCTATTTTATAATATAGAGGTTGGGTTGGATAGAGCCCATTGATAATATTCCTCGTGGCTTACCTGCAGTACTGTCCATTCTAAGGAAAATAACAAATCAATATCAAATCACTAGTGAAAAGTTGTTGGCCTTGTGCATGTGTTTTCCTTGAGGTTTTCTGATAATTTAACTTTGATATTGTCACTTTAAAGTGAACAATTTCCACAAGATTGTTTTTTAACTGTAATACATTATGGTTATGATTCATGTCCTGTGCATTATCTGCCATAACTCACATCTCATCTTATATTGATTTCAGTAAAATGATCAAATACTTGTTTGACAAGGGGGACTACAACAGAATGTTCTAACATACTAGATACCTGCTTACCTTCTTTTGTGGTCTTAGCTTTATGTGTACCTGAGAAGCCCAAGCGGCAGTGTTACTGAATTTTTGGTCAGTGCTTTAAAAAAATGTTTGCAGCAACTGGTTCAGCAAGTACCTGGAGCTCCAGTTACTCAGGATACTTGTTCAGAATTTTTTTTGCCCACTACATCTCTTATTTCATTATGTTTGCTTTCTGTAACACTTTCAGCTCAACCTGGCTGCATTGAGAGGCTCCAGTCTGAAGATTCAAGCTCCCAATGCTTGTTAAATGCTATAGGAACACTTTATTAAATGGTTTAGATTGAGGGAGAAATTTAATTGCCTGACAGGTTTCAGATTAAATGCTACTGTGCTGGAAGTCACTGAGGGTATTAAAAACAGTTTTAAAGGAACAGTATTAAATACTACTGTGTGGTGTTATGTGTTCTCCTACTTGGACTCAAGAGATGCATATAGTATTCATGCAAGAATACAGGACGCACCTTTACTTCCTAATCTGTCACATTTCCTTTCATGGTGAACTTTGCTAGAGTAAATGAGCAGTTTCTTTTAAATTGCAAGGTCTAGATTTCATCTATGAATGATTTAAAGCTGATTTGGATATGTTATAGATATATTTAAATATCACTATTCTGCTTTTCTGATATCACTCTGAAATCTTTGTTTATGAGTTGTGTAAAACAACTTGATATAGCTGCACTTCTTGGTGTATGTGTGTGCGCGTGCTTTTGTTTTGTTTGGACAATTTATTTTATGCTTGTTAAACAGTCTCTAGACATCGCTTGCCTCGTTTAATTTCACATTATTATAGTGTTCTATATGTATGGACAGAGACGGGGTTAACTATCAAACCTGCTTCGGAACAGAGATTTCCACAACTCTCCACTCCCCAGGAGCCTCAACTTCACACCTCTGCCAGGAGGTGTCCAACAACCAAAAGATGCAGTCTCTGAAAGCCTATAGTTAGCAGGCTAAAACCAGTGTCTTGGCTTCCTGAGCAGTTGCAGTAGCAGTTGTAGTATTGTAATTTGCCGTGTCTGTCCAGAGCTCCTGGCTTAGGCTTTTCTAGTCACCCCGAGCCAACTGCGATCCTACGGTCTGACAGTTTGCCCCCAGCACCAGTTACCTAGCCCACTGAAGCTTCTGGCTTGCCACGTCTTTGATGGAAATTTTAATCTTGGGGATTGCTGTTACTCCCAGTTCAGTGGCATCTTCCTAATGTCACTTGTTAGCATGAGGATGTTGGGGCTCCATCTATTAAGGAGCCCCTCTATATTAAGGAGGAATACTGTCCTTGTCAATTAACAAAGAATCAAAGGAGGGGCACTCTGAAGTGCTTTGGGTTAGAATAGAAGGCAGTCGAGGGTAAAGAGACTTAATGGTGGGGGTCTACTACAGACCTCCCAACCAAGGGGAAGAGCTCGACCAGGAATTCTTAAGTCAGCTCATGGAGGTAGTGAAGTCAAAGGATGTGGTAGTCATGGGGGACCTGAACTTCCCGGACATCTGCTGGGAAGAGCAGTCAGCCAGATCTGACCACTCACGTAGGTTC